AACACATTATGCATTTTATAAACTTAATTATAATAATGTTTAAAATTTAAATATTTCAAATTAATTCATGTAAGAAATTCTATCTGTCGTACCAACCTATTCATATGAAAATAATTATAAATTTATAATAAGTAAATTATTATCCATTAACGGAAATATACGCCGCCGACATATATTTGACCTCAACAAAAATTATACCCCCATCTCCATCAACCCACCTGATCTCCCTAGTGGGCCCTAATCTTCCACTCCCAGTCCACGTGGCATGATTCCGCCTATTTACACACGCCTAAGAGAAAAGTACTGCCCATGATCCCATTTCTCGAAACGCAAGCTCCAGATTTGTTAACCCAAAAACTCTCCCTCCTTCAATCTTTTTCAGCGATTAAACCCCCCCCCTTCTTTCAGATTTTCTCTCAGATTTTTTTCGGCAATCTGCTTCAGGTAATTGCGAATTCGATAAACAAAATATATACCTATACCTTTTTGTCGCTTCTTCCCTATTCAATTTCTTCTTGTGGGGAAATATGTTCGTGTCTTCTTGTGGTACGTTCGTGTACTAATTCTGTATTGTTATGATTGTACATGACAGCGGTTTTGTTGTCGTTGATGCTTCCCTGTTTTCGATTTATACGGGTAAGGTCATTTTCGATTACGTAATTCATTCTATTATCTGTACCTGATTGCTGTTACGCAGTATCTGACATGGAAGTGTTAGTTGTTTGGTTACGAAGAAGAACGGTGTTTGACTCGATTATCTGTACAATTGTTTAACTTGTTAGAATAGATGTTTGTTGCTGAGTATTGAATTTTGTATTTCTTTGTGAGCTTTGTCACAGTGCCTGTGAATTCATTTTTTAGGTTTTTGGTTTTTGGTTTTTTTTTTTTTTTGATTGGGAAATTAATTGATCATATAATTGGGGAAGTTTAGAAGTCAGTGGTCGGAATCGTGCGTTTCTGTGCGTGTGTGTACACGTATAATATATATATATATATATATATCTCGGAATTAAAGTTACAGTCTTGTGTTATATCAAAAGGGATGAGTGGTTGAATTGGATTGCTGAACATAATTAAGTTCATGAATAGACAAGTCTGTTTATAGGGCTAGGGTGAATCCTTTCTGGGATATTTATGTCAAGGAATAGGATCCAGTGACATTCTACTATTAATTTGTGACCTTTTTCTTCTTAAAACGTATTATTTGTGAATTCACGTGCTTTGTCCATACAAATTCAGTATGATTTGTGAGGGAACGATAATCTCTCCACCTTTTCTGTTTACAGACAAAGCTCACCATGTTCGGATATTTCGGTGCGTAATGCTTCTTTTCATGCACGATCAGAATTGACAATGAACTACTCTTCTCTGGTTTCAGGTTTCATGCATTTGCCATATGCTTGATGCTTTAGATTCTTAAGAGTGATTCTGGAGGACAATATCTATAAGTTTCATTTTCAAGTATCTCATATCAACACATGTCGACTGGGCCAGTGAGGAGGGTCTCACGTCAAGATATACAACTGGTGAGATGTTGAACTTTGAAGTTTCTTAGTGGACCATGATATTATGAAAGGATTTTTACATTTTAGATTATTTTCTTGCAAGGAGATGTATTTGTAGAGTTATGGCATACTAGATCAGCAGGCACTTGGTAGGAACAAGTTGAAACTGGAATAGAGGAGAAGAGATTTTTATATATTGCTTTCATGCGACCAACGGGGTTGGGGGGGTTTAAAAGTTGATGTAACAAAAATTCCATTAGGATGCGAACATTCTGGATGACTTCAAGAAACATGTTCTCTTGTAGTATTTTCAAATGGGATGACATGTTAAACCAGTCCTTTGTTACTAATTTTCGGA